TCACACATTCATGTCCGACAGCTAGAACAACGATGTGAATTAACGAAGAAGGCCATCCGTACAAGGTGTGAAGCAAAAAAAAAAAAAAAAGATGGATGAAGGAGGGCATTACGATTGGAATCGGAGCTGGTCTTCGGGGACGCTATCGATGAGGTTGATCTGATCGTAGAGAGAGAAGGTCCTCCTGCACAGATTTCATCAGAAACCAAATCAACAGAAACATTCACATCAACTAAACTAGCTCTCCTCCGGTTGAGCAGGAGGCCGATGCGCCCGCGGGTTACCTGAGGGACGGGAGGTGCCGGAGCCTCGGGGCGTTGGAGACGGGCTCGCTGCGCAGCGATTTCACCAGATGCGGCAGCGCCGCCACCGCCTTCTGCCCCCGCGCCGCCGCCATCTCCTCTCGCCTCTCGCCGTCGCCGCCTCCAAAGCGAAATGGGGAACGAGAGCGATTAGAGACAAACAACCCCTCCTCGAATCCTCGAAATTGCAGATGAGTCCCTAACCCAGCCCACCCGAGCAAAAACGGATATGTGGGCCGAAATGTATGTTGTTAGCCCACAGACAAATCGAAGCCCAAGGTGGAATGTTTCGAGGGCCAGCCCATCTAGGGCGGCTAGCTAGTCCGACTCCGATTGCGTAAAGAACAGAGCTACTCCGAGTCGGATACGCAGTGCTGGGGTCTATAAATGGAATGAAGCCGCATGATCCACACCCGCCTACTCAGATCGATCCACAAGGTGCGTGCATCGATCATGGCGGACGACATGCCGCCCGCCGTCGACGATGACCTCCAGGACCTCATCGACGAGCTGATGAATGCCGGCCCGGAGGACGAGGCCGACGACCGAGAGTGCGAGGAAATCACGGCGAAAGCGCTGTCTGAAGCCACCGAGTACCTTGAGGACCCCGACCCTCCCTCGCCGGAGCAGGTGGGATGGGCGGAAGGCGCAGTGATCTCCGCCCAGTCGGCGGCGGATAACATGGCGTCCTATGTGCTGGATCTCAGGAGGGCTCTGGCCGTGTTCGCCGGGACAGGGAGGCCCGAGGAGGCGGTGCTCAGGAAGAACGTCGCGTGGGCCGACGCGCGCCGCGCGGAGGCGGTGGAGATCGCCTCCGCCGCGCGCCGCTTGCTGGAGAAGGAGCTCAGGTGCATGGCGGCGAGAGACCACCCCGTCATTCCGGAGCTTGCGGCGCTGATCACCGCCATGCGCGAGTCCACCAAATCACGGGTCCTGCAGGACTCCTCCGGCGGTGATGCCGTCCGTAGGGCCGGGTTGTTGGACAGCGCGATCAAGTTCGAGGACGCCGTGGTGGAGAAGATGACCGCGTTGAAGGAGAAGTTCACGCGTGGCGCGGCGGCCTTCGCGGGCGAGGAGGAGCTCGTGCAGGCGCTGCAGAAGCACGCCGCAACGGCCGAGGCGGAGATCGCGGAAGCACAAGCGTTCTCCGCAACCTTGTCAGCAGCAAGTCTCGTGTTCGTGCAGAAGAGGCCGGCGCCGGAGACGGAGGAGGAGCCGCCGCGACAGAAGCGCCGCACAGGAGACGCCGGAGATAGTGCCGCACAAGACTAGCGAGCTCATGTTGATCGCCACTTAATTTGTCATTATTACTAGTTTGGTATATTACCATGCATGCTCTTTGTTTGGTCAGCTGTTAATCTAGATCTTGTACGCGCAATGGAATTACGGCGGGCTCGCTGGCGTCAGGTGGCTGGCAACAAGACGTTGTTTCCGGACGAGCTATAGGACGGATTTTGACAGTGCATTCATGCTAATTTGTTGGTTGATTTGGAAGGAGCGTAATGCAAAAAATTTCCAACACGTGTCCAAGACACCGGAACAACTTGCGGAGGATATTCAAGAGGAAATTGCTGTCTGGAGGGTGGCTGGGATTTTCTCCCAATTTCGCGAGTAATCGTATGACTGTTTACGGGGTTTAGCCCTGCTTTCATTTCTCATTCTTGATTGGCTGGGGTCCTTCCCTATCTACCGCGGCATTGTAATGTCGTTGTAACATTTTACTGTATTTTCCCCCCAAATCTTAATGAAATTAGTCGGACAACCTTTGGTTGACCCGGGAAAAAAAAGAATTACGGCGGGCTAGTTAGTCCATAATCGATGTGATTTTGTGGTACATGTAATGACCGAGATGGAATTACCAGCAAGTTCATCTATTACAGCTAGCCAACACTGATTTCTAGCGTCAACGTTAGTCGCACGGTAGTTCAAAACCTCCCTGTTGAAAGTCCGAAACCCTGTCGCATGGTAGCTCGTGCAATTAACGTGTGATAGTAGTTTTTTTTTTCTTGAACGAACCGGAGATGTGACAGTAGTTCACCATACACACTAGGAATATAATGTGTGTCGAGATTGTCTCTCTCTCTCTCCCACTCTGAAGTTCTAAAGAAATTTGCTGAATCTTGCCGAACGTGTACAGTAAACTGACGAACAAATGCAGAGAACGAAAAACTATCGACAGAGTTTGTGCTCCGAACTATCGAAAGCTTTTCTGATTTCTCTTCTTCTCCTTTTATTAGATTAGATCTATTGGGAGTTTGTTACATGCATAACAATCAACGACTTTACCGGATCCAATCTCAGCTCGGTCGTCTAACCGAAAACAAACGATGCGATGCGGCTACTCTAGCCCGATGGTGGTCTGAACCCGGTCAGCCACTTATTATTACATGCATGACTAAGTAAAAACAGATACTTCCTCCGTTTCACAATATAAGTCATTTTAGCATTTCCACATTCATATTGATGCTAATAATCTAGATAGTTATATATGTCTAGATTCATTAGCATTAATATGAATATAGAAAATACTAGAATGACTTATATTGTGAAACGGATGGAGTAGAAAAAAGAACAAGCTAGACTAGAATGTGCAAGATTATACGACAAATCCATCAGAGAGAACCCTCACGGCCTCACATACTCCCTTGCCTCGCTTATGCGATTCTCCCCCAATCTCCATGGATTAGCAGGGCTGTCTGCTGGTCTTAAGTTTTCTCCAACCAAAAAGAGACACAATGTTGCCAGTGCCACCACTAAGGTTCAGGCATTCAGCAATGGATCGATCGGAGGGGCGAAGGCAACGGATAAGCGTCGGTTGGGTGTTCGCAGCGCAGATCCCGACTAGCAGTAAAATTCAGCGTTCCATAGCGTAGAGCGCGTTTCACAGGGGTTCCGATTTTACAACCCCGAACCCCCTTGGGAACATCCACTGCCGCTCGATCAGGCCTTTACGGCCCAGATCTCGCACTCGCACATGGTAATCCGCTTCCGCCGGTTCACGATGATCATTGGGAAATGGGAAGTTTATGAGCGCTCACAATCCTGCTTCTATTTAGGCTGTCTTCTCATCTTGATTTTCTCCTAACTTGAAAGAGAAACAATGTGTAGTAAACTAACCACTGATTGCTATATGGATCATGCGGCTTTTGGAAATCCGAGTGTTTTTTACTCCGTTTCTCTGTCGAAAGATATTCAGTTAGTCCTACACACGCGGACAGCTTTATAGAGTCGGACTCCGATTGTCGGATTGGGTAAAGAAAAGAAAAAAAAAGAAATAAATAAAGAACAGCTAATCCGAGTCGGATACGCTGTTGTGGATGGACGCTGGGCCTTTAAATGGAACGAACGAATGCCTTTCCTACTCACAATATCAGATCCATCCACATCCACAACCACAAGGTGCGTACCACATCGATCATGGCGGACAACATGCCGCCGGCCGTCGACGATGACCTCCAGGAGCTCATCGCCGAGCTGATGGAGGCCGATCTGCAGGACCCAGAGCTGGAGCAATCCTTGACGACAGTGCTGTCTCTAGCCACCAACTACCTCGACGACCCCGACCCTCCCTCGCCGGAGCTGGCCGACTGGGCGGCCACGCTAGAGACCAACTCCACAATCATCGCGGATGGCTTGGCGTCCAGACTGCTCGACTTCAGGAGGGGCCTGGCCGTGTTCGCCGGGACAGGCCGCCCCGAGAAGGCGGTGCTCAGGAAGCACGTCGCGTGGGTCGACGCGCGCCGCGCCGACGCCGCGGACATCGCCTCCGCCGCGCGGCGCTTGCTGGAGAAGGAGCTCAGGTGCTTCGCGGCGAGAGACCACCCCGTCGATCCGGAGGTTGCGGAGCTGATCACCGCCATGCGCGAGTCCACCAAATCGCGTGTCCTGCAGGACTCCTCCGGCGGTGATGCCGTCCGTAGGGCCGGGTTGTTGGACATCGCGATCAAGTTCGAGGACGCCGTGGTGGAAGAGATGACCGCGCTGAAGGAGAAGCTCACGCGTGGCGCCGCCGTCTTCTTTGCGGGCGAGGAGGAGCTCGTGCAGGCGCTGCAGAAGCACGCCGCGACGGCCGAGGCGGAGATTGCGGAAGCACAAGCGTTCTCCGCAGTCTTGTTAGCCGATGCCAACCGAACAGCAAGTCCCGTCGTCGTCGTGCAGAAGAGGGCGGCGCCGGAGACGGAGACGGAGACGGAGGAGGAGCCGCCACGACAGAGGCGCCGCACAGGAGACGCCGGAGACAGTGCCGCACAAGACTAGCTATGGCTAGCTCATGTCACCACTCAATAACTTGTCGTCGTTAGTTAGCTAGATTAGGAAGCTCTGTGCATGCTTCCTGTCTCGTGCCGATCGATCAGCTGTTGGTCCAGATCTTGTAAATCTAATTAGTCCATGATCGATCTGATTTTGTGCTAGATCGATGTAATATGAGACCAAGACGAAGGTTAATTTTTGTCATATGCATATACTAGTCATACACTCATACTCCGTTTTTCCGTTGACAACATTTGTTGCACTGTAAATACTTTGAAGAGGAAGAACATCATCACTTTTTTCGTGCTCCGGGTAGGTACTAGCTGAAAAATTTGATAATTCAACACTTTTTTCGTGCAGGGATGTATAGCACTAGTATAGGTAGAAATAGAATCCTTGGAGAACAGTAGTATCGTGGAAGAAGACGATCGATCGAGCAGAGCAAAAATTCAGGCACCCCTATAAAAAGCTACTACTACTATAGTATCAATGAAGTTGAAGGATTCATTCAGATAAGCAGGCAGACAGTACACAAGGTAGAAGGCCGCAGAAAGCGACGGACAGGTCCGGCCGTAACGGCCACAACTAACTCCCTCCTCGTCCTCTGCTATTCCTTCTGCTCCTCCTATATATTCTCATCCCGCCCGATTCCCCAACCAAACCACACCAACTCAACATCAACTCAGAGAGCAGCAGTGGCCGCCCAGGAGGGAGAGAGAGAGCGAGAATGGAGCGCGAGGCGCAGGGGTTGAGACGCAGGAGGAGCATGGGCGGCCGGTTCAGAGCGGAGATCCAGATTGACCCAGGCGTCGCCATTCCCAGGTCAGGACCAACCCCAACCGCCCATTTCTTCTTCTTCTTCTTCTTCTTGGCTTCTTGCCTGCACTTCTTGCCGCCGCACGAGTTCTTGCCTTCTTTTCGATCGTTTCAATCCCAAGTTTCATCGCCATCTTCTTCTTGTCTTTGCTCGCATTGGTGTTCTTGGCAACTTCTGCTTGTTGTTTTCGCGCACCTGATCGATCGATCGGTCGATGAGCAGAGGGCCGGATGCCGGGTTCGCCGCCGCCGTGCGAGAGCCGCTGGTGAAGCTGCAGCGCCCCAAGTTCGAGTTCGAGCAGTGGGATTGGGATTACATCTCCTGGCCTCACGACCGTCTCGACGGTAACCATTCTTTCTCTCTCTCTCTGCTTTCCTTCTCTTTCGTTGCGATTGACCGGGTTCGCTGATGCTAGATGATTAGACATGTCGCTGAATCTGGACGGAAATGTGGGCTAGGTTAATTCCCTCCCTTTTGCTCTGAGAATGAACGGCAGATTTTGCACCTGTACATCTTCATGGGGAACGAACGAACCATGAACGTAGACGCCTCTGCACTAGTTGATCCATTCGTCGTCAGGGTTTGCTAATCATGTTCATAGGGAGCCCACGGGTGGATAGGTTAATGAATCTGGACGGAAATATTAACTAGGTTAATTTCTTGCTTTTGGTTTCAGAACCCGTAGATTTTCGTGCGAACCATGTATGAAATTGTTTGAATTTGACAGATTTTGAATAAATTTGACCAAATTCGCAAAAAAATTGCAAAAAACCGAAATTTCAGAAATTTCGAACCCTGCATGTCAGTAACTTCAGAATTTCAGACAAGTAACTGAATTTTTTCTGCCTGCGCAAATGCAAATACAAGTTCATTGATTCAGATAAAAGTTCTTTAAGTTACTGCTCCTATCTGATTTTCTTTGACCACAAGAAGCGGTCATATCATACATGTAAAGTTTCATACAAAGCAATTAAAAGCTTACATTTTCAAACTACAATTTGGTCCATTCATCACTAGTCATTGCACTCCTTGGTGTTCAGTTTTAACAAAAACTTCCCTGACATAAGAAGCTGAAAATGTATATATGTATGGCCATGCATCCAGCGAATCTGCAGATGAGGGACAGTGATCCGGAGGCGACATTTGAGGCAGACAGGAAGGCGAGCGACGAGTTCCTGCGCCGGAGTACACTGCAGCTGAACAAGTGTGAGAGGGATCGGCGAAAGCCGGAGCAGCAGGACATGGAGCTGGAGGACCAAGACATGTTCGTGGCGTCCCTGCTTCATGTCGACGACGAGCCCACCGGATGCAGGAGCAGCAGCGAGCCCTGGAGAACGGCAGGGCAACGCAGCGCCATTACTCCCCACATGGGCGCAGCATACTAGTCTCACCATGATCTGTGGGGTAGAAGAAACAGTATACAACTATCCTGAGGTTTTCTTCAGTTCAGAACTGTGGGAGTAACAGCAATTTACGGTTCAGAACTTCTCGGGAACATACTTGCTGTAGTGTAGTGTACAGACACATTACATTCATCTTCTAATTGTAGGATGATTCCGAGTCAATAGTTCCACACTAGTAGATTAGCATTTCATTACATTGCTGTCCTGGAGAGATGTTCTTTTATGTTCAGAAATGCTCGGGAAACAGTTTACTGTACAGATACATTCCGTACATCTTTGGTGGATATAGTACGGGACAATAGTATTGGTACATAGACATTTCATTCCATAGCTGTTCCGAAGATGTTCTTTTATGTTCAGAATTGCCCGGGAGCATTTGCTGTTCTGAAGATATTCTCCCTTTTTTTTTCGAACGGCCTGAAGAAGATATTCTTTTTATGTACAGAAAAAGTACATTGCATTATATAGCTCTTCTGAATATAGTTATACTAGTACCTCTAGCTACTAGTACCTCAAGGTACCAACTGCTGGACCGGAGCAACTCTCGTGCCCCTAATCATTCTGTCCAGTTTCTGTCACTTAACAGGATGAAATGTAACATTTCAGATAGCCAGAACTCTGAACTTTCTGTTGGGGAAAACAAAAGGAACTCTGAACTTAACCACTTCATCATGTCATATAACAAACCATTACAAATCACTTAGTAGCAGTAGTACGCAAGAACAAGTAAAAAAAACAGAGGCCCTCCATTTCACTCAACAGCTACTACTATTTGTTATTCGATCAGTAATTCAGTACTCTCTCCGTTTCACAATATAAGTCATTCTAGCATTTCCCACATTCATATTGATGTTAATGAATTTAGATTCATTAACATCTGAATCTAGAAAATGCTAGAATGACTTACATTGTGAAACGGATGAAGTATGAACTATGAAGTGCCCGCGTGGATCGCTCGCAATCCTCGTAACTCGCCGGCACCGGCGTCGGCGTCGGCGTCGTCTTCGTCCTCGCAGCCGGTGGGCCGTGGGCAGCGGGCCCTGTCGATGTTGGCCCAAGGGCCCAACTCACCCCACCGCCCGGTCCTCTTCCACTCCAGTATCATGAGCGACATCTTGCCATAGTAGGGCACGTCCCTCACCTCGTCGGAGCTCAGGTAGCTCACCTGCTCCCACCGCTCCACCACCGCTCGCCGCACCGGCTTCAGCCGCGCCGCCTCCGTCACCATCACCATGAACTTGGCCAGCGCCATCTTGGCGTCGGCGGCCGCCGTGGTCGCCGCCGGATCGTACCGGGAGAGCACCTCCATCGCGCCCACCGCCGACGACCTCCCCACCGGCACGGCGCGCAGGTTGGCGACGCCGCCGATGAGGTCCCGGTAGCTGCCCCCGAACGGGAGCTCGGTGCACGCCGTGGCCGGGAGCGCCGGGTAGCAGCGGCCGCCGCGGAACGTGTGCCAGTGGCCCGTCCGGTTGGCGAAGCCGGCCACGTAGGCGTCGTCCTCCGCGACGAGGAGCTTCGCCTGGTCATCGTCGCGGTCGCCGCCGCCGAACAGGCGGACGGTGATCCACTTCGCCGGCGGCTCGTCGTCGCCGTGCAGCCCCGCCATGGTGGGGATGCCCTCGATCTCCTGCCTGCACGGGTTGTCGGCGAGCTCTGCTTTGAGGCGGTTGGAGATGAGCTCGTTCCATGAGTGCACGGAGAAGTTGAAGGGGATCTCCACTAGCCTCGGCTCGGCGGCGGCGACGCCATGCTCACCGGCTGCTACTGGCGCGAGTGAGACCAGCAGCAGTAGCATTTTGGTGATCAGATGACCCATCATGGCCAGAGAGGCAGAGAGTAGTGCAAGAGGTGATTTTTTTTAAGGTTTGTAAAGAACACGTACTGGATGAATGCAAATATAGGAGTAGGGTGCTGAACTTTGGTTTGGTCAGTCATGCAATTTTCGTTATGCATCCAACTCCAATAAACCATCTGTGCGTGAAGTCTTTTCTGCTAGTACTTTGTAAACTGCCCATTATTTTCTCATCTAGTCTATTTGGGCCTACTCATGGGCCCATCTCTCGTTACTAATGGGCTGACGGCCCATCATTTTCTCCGTGCGAATGGGGTTCGGAGATTTATTTTCCGAACCTCCGTCATCCTCGCCGCCGGCGAGATGAGATCACCGCATCCGCGGTGGCAGTTCATGTAGTGTGGCCTGGTACAAATCGACGGCCACACGTCCGTTGGTCCAAAACAGGTTCATCATGTAGTGTCCGTATACATGCGTCGTTGGGATGCTTAGCAGCAGTCAAGCAACTACTAATTAACTGAGTTGAATTTTTTAAGCTAGCTGTTTTTACCGATCGAAAGCCACCGAGTGAATAAGTACTGAAGTAACTTGAAGGTTCGTTTCATATGTATTCTTAGACCTTAATTTTGGACAATCCGCGCGGCAAGAATATTTTGGACAATCGTCGAGTCATTATCTTCATCTTTGCTTCGGAACAGACATTCTACTTCAACAACTTCAAATATTTCGGTTTGGACGAGTTGGACAACAACATCAACTCTCCTCCAAGTGAAGCATCTACAACAGCTATAACATTAATTTGATGGATTATTGTCACTGACATCATCACCAGCACCTCTGCTTCATCGACCCTGACATCTCCGCTATTGCTAATGGATGATTATGTTTTCGCCGACTTATTATTTCACCTTCACGGTTGACCTACTATGCAAATGCTGATGAGCGTCTTTGTCATTATCATTGGTTGCTACACTGCTATTGGCTGGATCACCGACATCGTCATCTTCATCATGTCGGTTGCGTTTGTCGTCGTCAACTATTTTCTTCATCTTCATGATTGGTGGATTTCGCCATCACTGTTGATGCGCGTCTACGTCTTCATCGTCGGTTTGCTTTTGTCATCACCGACTGTTTCTTCGCCTCCATGGTTATGCAACTTCATTACTTTTGATTGGTGTCACTGTTTTTTACTACCACTGACATCTTCCGTTACTTCTGATGAGCAATTTCGTCTTCATGTTGGTCATTTCATCTCCATGCCGACTGCGTCAGCTATTGCCAATAAACAATTTTGACTATGACAGAAGGACAAGCTATATGCTCAGGGGCTCATCAACTCAAGCGTGAGGATTATATCTCCAATTTGGACTTGTTCCGGATACATTCCACATGGATTCATAGTCATGAGTCTATCTTCTATGCTCAAAGACTGGACCAATTATTATTCCCCGTAAAGGCTATCAACCGAATACTTGCGCCAGTCGGGATTCAATTATTATATTTATTTTGGAGTATCCCATAAGGGATAATCATTCAGATCAGAAGCTATTCATATGAGCTACACTTGGTCTATATTACCCAGAAGATTTGTTACTCGGGAGCATGTCACATGCGTCATCCTTTAAAGGGTGTCGAAGGCATATTTTTTGGCCTAGGCCTAATATGTCTGCAGCCCATATTTTCAGGTGTGGCCTGTCACGTTCTTTTAGGGACTTAGGCACTTTTCGCTTAGGCCAAAGTGCGCGTGATCAAGTGCCCAATACCTTAAAATCCTTTTATACCGCAGTTACTCGACTTTTTAGGAGTTGGTACAATGCATCTTAAAAGGTGTCAAACAGTAAAGCTTTATATAGCTGCCCCGCTGACTTTTTTATATAGTCAAGGTGCTGTTTGGGTTTATCAAGCAATTGATTGGATACAATATCATTGCTTTTTGCCACGTAAGTGTGCATTTTTATTGACCAATATTATGGCTTAGGCTGATTATATATTATGGTCATTTTTCAGGCGGTTGGTACATCCTTTATGAGTTTACTTACTCGGATTTTACACCACATATGCCATATATTTCCAGGTGTGGTGAAACCATGTGTCTTTTAGGGACTTAAGCACATCTGTTAAAGCAGTGTGCGCATGGCGTATACTTTGGAAATTTCTTTATTCACAGCATTCAAGCTTCTTTATAGTTGTTTTGCTATGTGAACTTTCAATGATGTAGTCAGCTTTAGGTTGCACGCATCATATTTTACAAAGCAGTCGGTATATCACTCGGATCATGTTATTCAGGGATTCACGCCGCATATGCTATATATTAATATTAAGTCACTTGGTTGACTACAATTATCAAAACCACTCAGTTGGTGCATCTATTAGGTACATCTATTCGATGCATCTGACTTTATTTTTCAGCCCTCCACAGTCTTCATATTTGGTAAAAGTATTCGGAAGATCATGGCGAAGATGATTGAAGCACTCGGCTTTGGAGTAATCTAGTTCGAGAGAAGATTATCTTTCCGACTGTGAAGGTCTCAGGGGCTACTGTGGAGATTATGGGTACCCCATACCCACACGGCATGGTTATCCGACTAGTTATAGGGGATAACTTATATCTATGTAATATGTAACAGATCATGACTTGGGTGTTACGTTTCCTTGTATATTACGGAACGGCCTAAAGTCCTGATTTAGGAAACCGATACCGTATTGGTTAAGGTTTCTATCTTGTAATCCTGCCCCCCATCCTATATAAGGTGGGCAGGAGGCCCTCTAGGGGGCATATGAGACAACTAGATCGTCAGATCTATAATACACCCGGCGGATTCAAATCCCCAAACAGGAGTAGGGTATTACCTCTCATCGAGAGGGCCTGAACCTGTCTAAATCCTTTGTCTCCACATCCATCCACTTTTAGGTCTCGTGCGCTACCCCGTTTTATTATTGCCGAATTCATGTTTCGACAGCACTGAAGCAGTAAGGTGCAGTTAAACGTATTAATTAATTAAGCTGCAAATATATTTTTCCTTCGCCCCTAGGGGCTGTAGTTTTTCTTCCACTATATTTTGATATTACTTATATATTTATTATTGACAAATTTTCTTTCAAAAATTTATCAGATGTATGTATATTATAATTATAGTATAATTATATTGTAACTTATATATAACTACAGTGTAACTTTCACATAATTTTAAATCGTTAAAATAATTTAACTTAAGATTCGTGCAAGTGGGAAAGAGAAAAAAAATCATAATGCGCGTGGATGATGAGATTGGGTCTTGTTGAACTCTGATTCACGAAAAAAGAACATGTTACCGTAGAATTTTTGAAAGTTACATACAAATCGTATCATAGTTAAATGCAGGTTATAGTGTAATCATATTACGATTGTATATATATTTTCATCTATCAAATTTTTAGAAAAAAAGTTTGTTGATAAATGTATAGCTATTTGTAGCGCCCGTTCCGTCGTGGCGCCTAGCGGGAAAATTATCTCTTAAAAACCCTAATTGCGAAATTTGCTTCCTTGCTTGTTGTCTAGCGTCCGTGCCATCTCAAGATCTCAAATCCCCCGATCTATCGTCGAGTTCAATTCCGAATCCAAATCCCTCCAAATCAAATTCCTCCGCAAAATTCTATCTTGCCTCTCCCGG